ATGATGCTGCTTGGCCTGCTGTGTTCATCCAGCCCTGCACCTTGTTGTCTCCAATGTCATATTTAAATTGCATTTATTACAGTGATCAAGGCAATCAGTTTGACTTTTGTCAATTGTTGAAACTATCCATATAAAACTCCTGAGATGTTCCCCCAATTGTATTTTCTTTTACTGCACTGGACAAAAATTTGATTGAAGTAACAATTTGTGTTAGAAAGACATTTCTTTCTATGTTGACAAGCCTGAGGCAAGTTGGCCGTTTTATTTAAACTCAAGCAGTAGTCATGGAACAATACTAATATCTAACAGGCTAAAATCTGTGATGGCAATAGTTTGTACTCCATTCTTAGTTTCACTGATATTATCAAATAGTGCATTAAGAGGCACCAGCTATTTTTCTGCAATAATTAGCAACAATTTTATTCTCCCATTTGTAAAGTTACATATACTCAGGGTACATTCCCAGGATCTAAGATGACACCGAAATCAAATCAAATCAATCGGGAGGTCAAAATTTGGGAATTTGAGCCCTATTCTTGGTGAACCACAGCTTTGGACTCAACTTTGCTGATACTGCAACTTGCTTTCAACCAGAGCGACAGACTTCAAAATAGGGCGATCGGAAAACAAATTGAGATTTCTGCCAAAGCCAGCAACAATACATTGGCTGAAATCCACGTTGATCCAGAAATAGCATCTCTTAATACATCCAAAAGTCCCCAGGCTTCTCAACAAACGGATGTGTGCTTTAGTCCTTTCAATATTAATAAATTTTATGTGTCTTTTGAAAGTAAAAGGACATTTCTGTCTGCAAATTCTGTATTCCTACACCAATGCTTGTAATGTTTAACAATCAGTAAATGAGTAACCAGAAGTAAATAGAATCCCTACAGTGTGGAAGGAGGCCATTTGGCCCATCCTGACTCTCTGAAGACCATTGCCAAACCTCCCCCCCAACAGTATCCCTGTAAACCTGCATTTCCCATGGCTAATCCACACATCCCGGGACAGGCAATTTTGCATAGCCAATCCAACTATCTTACACATTGTTGGACTGTGGGAGGAAAACCACACAGACACGGGGAGAATGTGCAAACTCCACACAGAAAATGCCCGAGGGTGGAATCGAACCTGGGTCCCTGGTGCTGCAAGGGTGCAGTGCAAGACGCTGTGCTGCCCCTAATCAAGACACTGTGAAGAATAGTGATGAATCTCAATATCCGTTGTCTTTTCTATATTTAATTTTGTTTGAAAAATCTGTGTTATTAATCTTTAAATCAGCACTGGGATGGAAAGCACTTATGGATGACAACAAAGAAAGCTGCCCAATATCCTAATTATCTCTGAGATGTGGATTTCCCATTTCCCAGAGTTAATTTGGATTGGCTGCTTAGTCAAAGAATCTCCAGGCATCCAGCAACATGTATGTCATCATGCAAGATAAAAAGTTGTTCTCGTAGGTAACAATCCCGGAAGTAAAACAGCTTAACTATCCTTCATATTTTATAAATTTTACAGACGGTAGAATAAAGGTGGAGACATACATATGAGAGGTCGAAATATCATAAGCAAACAGATTCCTAAAAAGAATTGAGGTTAAAAAAAACCCATGGATTTATCATAATACAGAATATAGTCTTTGTACAAATCTAAAATTAGATTTTCAGGGCTTAAGAGATTCTCTAATAATCATTATAGCTTAATAGATTTAAAAACTCAGTTACACCTCATTAACAAGACATAACTTCACAAGGAAAGGTTAATGGTAATATTACAGTGAGAAGAGGGAAGTTCCAGTCAGTTTAGGTGATTTCTAAAGTTTCTAAAGTGTGTGGGGGACTTCAAGAGCACAATTGATTGAAAAATTGAGGTAAAATCACTGATACTAAATTTATTTTTCCATGTTTAACTGAATAAGTGGAAAGCCCATTTTTGCTATCTCTTCACAGGATAATTGCAGTGAGCACTGATGGTTTTGCCATAATTACAGTGGTAAAATTGGGGTTAGTTCAACTGAATTTCGATAAAAAGAGGCCAGTAGCTTATGGAAAATATGATGGCTGTTCAGATGGTTTTGGCAGGTTGCGAAAGAAAGGACCCAGTTTTGATACTCACAATTTCAAAAGATAATGATGGCGTGATAACTGTCACAGGATGCCATTTTGGATCTGAGCTCATTCTCAAGACTTCCTTGGGAGGAATTTTTAAACACAATTTCAGATGTGTAGCAAGTTGGACTTGAACCCAACCCTCATGGGCCAGAGGTAGGAGCCTCTTACTGCACCATAATACCCCAAGCATTTCTATTCCAGTTCTTGTAAATCAAACATCTCAACCCCAGAACATCAATGCAAGAACTTCCTCTGGGCAGATATTTTCTGTTTACAGACATTTAAAAAATCTTTGGAGCAGGAGGAACTTGAACTTGTCTCTCCTGGCCTAGGGGTATGGACAATACCACTGCACCATAAGAATCCAAGGATATTCATTTTTTACTTGGACTCAGACGTAAGATAACAAACTGGGGAGATGTCAACCTTGCTCACAAATTACCTTCCCACCGAGAGATGATGAAAATGATTAAATTTGTCTACATATTATAGACAGATTAATTTGGCAATGTATTCATATGGATAAAATGCAGGCACCAGAACAGAAGTAAGTTGTTCACAATCTGAAGAGCTAATGGGAGCTAGCTAGCTAATGGCACTGTGGCAGTGACCAGCAGCAACAAAGATGAAGACTGGCAAGTAAAAACAATTTATTCACAAGGAGGTAACAGTTGAACTTGATCCTAGCTGATAGTAAATCAAGCCCACCAATGTCAGATTCAGAACAGTCAAGTTCGGAATTGCTCTAAAAAATTTGTGGGTAGACACTAGGGATTGGTTATGCTGACTGCACACCCTTCAGAGTATACCAGTAAACCATGACTCGTTGAAATGTTGGCATAAGTCAAAGAATCATGTGCTGCAATAGTTATGAAAGACTGCTACAGCATGTGTAATGTAGCATGTGAGATGGAGTTTTGATCAGTTTTTTTCTTTCACTTGCTTCCAATTTTCTTTAAGTTCATTAGTAAAATCTGTCCATTTGTACCTGACATTAAAACACCATTTCAGAGTAAACCTAATGACACGTTGGCTGTAATTGCTGAGTTTGACACAGAGCAATCAACTGTCTTTTGTACGGCCCTGGTTTCACCTCTACTTAATGGAAACCAGACTCCTTGTTGTTCTTATCAAGTTATCACAAAATGAAATACCTACTGCAGTGAACATAGCCCTTCTAAGTAGCACTGACTGATGAGCCTTGCTCCAAAGGTTTCTACATCAATTGTCATCAAATGAAACATCATGAACAATTCAAAGAAGGAAGCATTTGAATCATCATCATCATAGAATCCTTACAGTGTGGAAACAGGCCCTTCGGCCCAACAAGTCCACACTGACCCTCAGAGCATCCCAACCAGACCCATCCCCTAATGACCCACCTAATCTACGCATCCCTGAACACTACGGGCAATTTTCCATGGCCAATCCAACTACCCTGCACGTCTTTGGACTGTGGGAGGAAACCGGAGCACCCGGAGGAAACCCACGCAGACACGGGGAGAATGTGCAAACTGCACACAGACAGTCGCCCGAGGGTAGAATTGAACCCAGGTCCCTGGCGCTGTGAGGCAGCAGTGCTAACCACAATGTTCATCCTTCAGAATTATTAGTTATGAGGAGAGAGTTTGGGAAAGGTTAATCCTTCTGAGTTTGGCGCCACAAATGTTGTCACTATTTTGCAAGAGACTTGTGATGTGTTTCCAGTTATTTGATTGCTGCTTTTTTTTGTGATTAACGTCAAGGGCATTTGCGAAGAAAAGTACCCTTCATGTTCCTTGGTCCATGAAGCTTTAAGATACCTTTTCTTAAATAAAACAAGTGAACAGAAATCTAACAAGCCAAATTAATTCACAATTTTTGTTTACTCAGAAGTCTAGTCTTTACACAAGAATCTGTGGCAAAATCATTTTTGTTTATTTGTCAAAAGGACACAAGCATAATGATTCAATTGGCATGTTGAAACTGTAAAGGAGCTGTAACAGGGAAAAGAAAAGGCTGCTCTACTGTTAAGTACCCTCACTATCGTCCGAGTGCAATGATCATAATCATGTTAAAGGCAAGACTTCTGCATCCTAACCTAAATCAAACCATTACCACGTACCCTGAATCTCATTTCATTGATTCACTTCTTCATTTTTCTTCCCTGATAATGTACACTACACAGTAACTGTTCAATAGAAGAGTGTCAATATGCCCCACGTACCAGATATTCAGTGGGGCTATGGCATTGCCAATCTTCAACCGCACTATAACCTTCAATCCTTCCCCAAGCACTTGTTTCACTCCAGTTGCCTTGAATGTACTCTCTGGAACTCACTTTATCAACCAATCTGTCCCTTCCTCTCTACCTTTAAAATCTTCTCAAAGTTCATCTCTTTAAATACCTCTTCTCACTTAAACGCTCTTAACTTTAATATCTGATTTCCTTATCTTATTAATGACAGGTTTTGGGTCATTGTGCAGTTTAAGTTGATAAAATTGGCAGCTGCCTACAGAGTCACAAAATTACACAGTTTAGGAGGAAGCTATTTGGCCACCTTTGTTTTCGTTTGCCCTTCAAGAGAGCAAAAAATTAGTCCCTTTAACCCAATATTTCCCCACAGCCCTATTAACTGTTCCTTTTAGGATATATCCAATTCCGTTCTGAAAATGGCTTTTGAGCTATCTTTGACAACCCTTTCGAGTGAGGAATTTCAAGGCCTATGGATATCCCCAAACTTCCCCATCCATGTGTCGAGTGGCTCTTCAGCATTTGGATTGATGGTTCTGCAAAAGGTAATGTGTTCAATATATTAGCTGCCCTATGGGAATACAGTATTGTCCATCTTCAAACTTAATGACAATGCAATACAGGCTCTTAGTGAGCAATATCTACTTATTGCTTACCTGCACACCATAAGGAAATTCGTCAGAATCATTGTCTCCATCAGAATCATCATCGGTCCAGTACTGGCCTTTGATGTCCTAAAGGAACATGACAGATATAAAAAGAAAGTCAAGTTTTGTACCACATGAACAAAGGTAGCATACAGCTACACAACGTTGCCAAGCTTCAGACAATAATAAGAACAAAATAAATCAAATGGAAATCAAAGTTCATTTAATTAATAGTTAGTTTTATAATCTAATGTTTAATCTGTGGTTTTGTCACTGAACTCGTAATCCAAAGGCTCAGGCTAATGTTCTGGGAATGTAAGCTCAAATCCTACTATCGCAGATGGAGAAATGTGAACTCAATAAAAATCTGTAATTTAAAAAAGCTAGTCTAACAGTGACCATGTAACCATTATTGATTGTCATGAAGACCTATCTGGCTCATCAATATTCATAGGGAAGGAAATCTGCCATTCTTACCTAGTTTGGTCTCCATGTGACTCCAGACCATCTGCAATCTGTGTGACTCTTAACTGGTCAGTTAGAGATGAGCAATAAATACTGGCCTAGCCACAAACACCCCACATCCCGTAAACTAATAAAAATAGGTTTGATCCTTACTTTCAAACAAAATATTACAAATTATGAGAACGAGGCAAGATTGAAGCAATATACAGTTTGTGGTCAAGTGATTTGGCTCCCATGACAGAAACTGGCTTGAGAAGCATTCGCTAAAAAAGAAATTACTTGATACAGAGAGGTGCTGATCTCGGCAATGCATTTTAAGGTGAAGTGTCCAAGGAAGCTATGAGGCTTGCTCAAAAAAAAATGTGCTAGGCTAGGTAGTCTCAATTGTCCATCATGATCCTAGGGGCAGCTGACCCACCAGGTCTGTTAACTCAGTGAAACACTTGATCCGGTGGTGGATGAGGAAGCGACAGAGAACATGGTTCAAACGAAAGAGGAGCAGTGGGGCCAGAGAAAAAGAAAAGGTACCAAAACAAAACAGGAGTTAACTCCCTGATTGGCTATGCTGAGCAGGGTTACAGATAATGGTGTTTCTCAATGCGATCTCACCTGTTGACAACCTTGATTCCCTCCGCCCCATCCTTTCAAAGTCGAGTGAGGAAAGCGCCACACCACTGGGGAAAGCCTCGTGAGGCAGGCTGCACCTCGCTCCGTACTGTTTGCAGCCTGATGTGAGGCCAAGACCATAAGGTAAGACACAAGTTAATCCTTCATACAATGTAGAAGGTACAGTCAAACAGCAAAAGGTACACAGGACTCACTTGAGGTGTTGAAATGAGTCAATGGAAAGAAGTTACCTTCTCGATTCCCTTCCACCTCACTGTCAGTATTTAAATACCATGTTGCTCTCTATTTTTGTAATGAGTACAAATCCATGAAGCTAAGTGATAGCTCACTTGCAACATGAAGGAGATTAATCTGCCATTTAGTCCCTACAAGGGCACGCGCCTCAGTAGGAGTTGGATGGTTTGCCATGGTCCTATTGAATGGTGCAGCAGGCTCAAAGGGCCGAATGGCCTACTCCTGCTCCTATTTTCTATTGTTCCATGGTCATTGTGTACATCTCCCCACAAACGGGGAAGGTGCTTGTATTGAGGCCCCATCAGTGGAGGTTAGCTCTGCTGAGCCAGTTTAGCATCAATACCATTGGATCACAAACAAAAACAGAAATCAGTGAGAAAAGCTCAGCAGGTCTGGCAGCATATGTGGGGTGAAATCAGAGTTAACATTTCAGGGCCAGTGACCCTTCTTCAGAACAGATTCTGAAATACCCACATCCCAGGTGCCATAGAATGAAACAAAATTGGAGGATACAACACAAGAGAGGGCCATTCAGTCCACGTTTCTATTCTATTCTCTCATTCAGTGAGATCACTGATAATCCTGAACTCCACTTTCTTGCCTTTTCCCCATAACCCTTGATTCCCTTCCCGATTTCTATTTCAGCCTTGAATATACTTAATGACCCAGGGTCTATAGCCCTCTGCAATAAAAAATTCCATTAATTAATTACCCTCTGATAGAGAAAAAACCTCTTCATCTCTGTCTTTTACACACAGTCCCTTACTCTGAGAGTATGCCTTTTGGTCCTAGACTCTCTCACAAGGGGAACCAACCTTTTTGCATCTCTGCTGTGAAGTGCCTGAAGAATTGTGTGTTTCAATAACCTTAAAGGCTATGGAGCTCATGCCACACTCTTCCCTTTTCCTTGTGGCCTCCAAATAACTCTCTCTTCAGGTGCTTATGCAACTCCTTTTTGAAAGTTATGATCAAGTCTGCCTACCCCACATACTCAGGGCATTCCAGATCCTAACCCAATCACCATGTAAAAATGTTTGTTCTAAAGCTCATTGCAGTCTGCCTTAGTTATCCCTATTTGGATGAAACTCACTCATTTAGCCAAAGCTCAGCAAGGAACCAACAGGTTCAGCAGAGAGATGGGAGAGATGGGTTGAGAGGAAAGCAACCAAAGAAACTAAATTGTGGGTGAACAAATGAATAAGGAACAAGAGTAGGCCATTCGGCCCTTCGAGCCTGCTCCGCCTGCTCAATAAGATTATGGTTGATCTGATCCTAACCTCAACTCTACATTCCTGCATATCCTCAATAATCTTTCACACCTTTGGTCATCAACAATCTACCTACCTCTGTATTAAAAATATTTTAAAGATTCTGCATTCACTGCCTTTTGAGGAAGGGAATTCCAAGGAAAACAAATCCTCATCTCTGTCTTAAAAGGGTGATGCCTCATTTTTAAACTATGACCCCCGAGTTCTAGAACTAGTGGTGAGTGACGCAGTAGACTAGAGCTTCTGGAGGTTTCAGCTTTTAAGAGCTCGGGTGGCGGATAAAAAAAAGACGCATCTCATCCCATCTTTCGTGGGGCTGAATCCCATTTTTACAAACAGCTCATAGCATCAACATGGCTCAGTGACAGCATTCTCACATCTGAGTGAGAATAGCAAAGGCTTCAAAGCCATCTTTAGGGCTTGAAGATGTAAATTTACACTGGCACCTCAATGTCATTTGGAAGAATCTGCTGCTTCCACTAATTCCAGTTTTCTCAATGTTACAAAATTGCAAACTAAACAAAGAGGACATTTCAAAGCCAATGCTGCAAGACAGCAATGCTAACCACTGGGCCACCAAGCCCACTTAAATTCTGAGATAGTAAGAACTGCCGATGCTGGAGTCAGAGATAACAGAGTGTGGAGCTGGAGGAACACAGCAGGCTGGGCAGCATCAGAGGAGCAGGAAAGCTGATGTTTCGGGTCAGGAACCTCCTTCATTTTCTGAAGAAGGGTCCCAACCCAAAACGTCAGCTTTTCCTGCTCCTCTGATGCTGCCTGGCCCACTTAAATTCTCTTGGTTTCTCTTTGTTGTCTTATGGGTGGGACACAATGGAATGTTCGCTGACGCCTGATGCAACAAAGACCCAATGAAAAGTTTGGTGTTCGGTTTGTTTTAGCAGAAAGCCTGACATTTCAACAACTCCTCTCTTTCATGTTTAAATCCTGTTTTAACCCCTGTTACACCTCCATCAAGAACCAAACCAACTTCCAAGGGGGAAGCCTCCTTCCCCTCTCTTGTGCCCTGTCCACTCCACCCCCTAACCCCATCTCCTACCACAGAATTGTTACAGTGTGGAAGAAGGCCATTCAACCCATCACACCTGCACTAGTTCCACATACTTTCTAATCCACCTGTTTGGAGATGCTATTATGCACCTTTGGAGCAGGTGGGCTTTCAACCTAGCCTTCCTGTTCTTCAAACGTATTGCATTGGTTTGTCTAGTGCGAGTGAGGAAAACTACTGGGTAGCCCAATGAGAAGAAGCTCTTACCCGAAGTAAATTGTAGTTGATTGCATGATAGCAATCAGGTACAAGTTACATTGTGTATGCATATTATATATGAGGGAGTACAACGAAAGTTCACTGGACTTGTTCCCAGGATGGGGTGACTGGCCTATGAAGAGAGATTGGGTAAACTGGTATTCTCTAGAGTTTCATAGAACGAAAGGTGATCTCATTGAAACCTAAAATAAAACATAAAAAGATAGACAGAGCAGATGCTGGAGAAGAGTTTGCTCTTGTTGAAGAGTCTCGAACCGGGGAGAACAATTTAAACATAAGGGGGATGTCACTGACATGAAGGGAACTATTTTTGCTCAAAGGGGTGTGAATCCTTGAAATTCACTAGCATAGAGGCAAAAGTTTAGTCTTTGAGTTTGTTTAAAAGAGAGATTGATAGATTTCTGAACACCAATGGTGTAAAGGGTTATGGGGATATTGTAGGTAGAAGCATTCATTCAGATGATTCTTTTAAACGGTGGAGCAGGCTCATAGGGCAAAACAAGGTAAAGGGTTGGTTAGCCCAGTTGGCGGGTTGGCTGATTTGTTATGCAGAGTGTTCTCTCTCATGAGATAGCAGCTCTATGGTTGGTGAAACTATAGCAACTTCACCTTCTTGTATGACAGCCATCGACGATTAACATGCAGAATATATCTTATTTCGGAAAGAAATAGATGGCCTCTTGAGTAGACACAAACTGTATTTGTTATATAGGACGATTAATAACTGAGAGGGTTAGCCACTAATTGATCATTTCAAATTTTCAATGTCGTTTTACACATAGGATGAAATGTAGGTTTGATGATGGGGTTGCTCGGGCCATTGAAAACATAAAGAAGACCCATATTTTGACATTTGAAAGTTCACAGGAAGTCTATGAATAGCTAGTAAAACTCACTCACCATTTACGCTGAAATTCAGAGACTGGTCTGTGTTCTGACTAGGCCTTGATCCTCCATTCTGACAGAGGGGGCTGGTAATAAATGAAGAAAAGGGCCTGCAAACAATTGCCTGCACCGTGAAATCTCCTTGACAACCAATGATCTCTCAATAACTTCCCCTGTCATTGAAAGGAAGAGAAAAGGGAAAGAAAAATGTCAATTGCGTCCTGTACGAACTATAAATGTAAGAAAGAAGATAATATCTAAAGAGTGATGCCTCAAAACATTTAAAGTAACCATGTTAGCAGTGAGAATTTGCTGCCTGAAAATGGACATGTTGCCTCAGATTAGTTTCTTGCTTCCCATCTGTTTCTGTGGAGAAAGCTGAGGTGAAGCGAACAGCTGCTCACAATGCACCATGGAAATAGGAGATTGACATCTGCGAAGCTTGCAATCATTGTGTCCAGGGACCGTTTAATGAAGAACAGATGTCACTGGGGCAGAAACAATGGCTCGCTCTCAGATGTCTTCATCGGGGTAGAGAAAGCAACAGACACAGCCTGGGCTGATAGCTGTCCACATTGAAGTGTACATGGCCAACATTTCCCACCTGAGCAGACAGCTAAGCGATGAGTGCAATGGAGACCCTTGTTTGAAAATACCAACATCTAATATTAATAATTGATTAACAAATATTATTTTTAGCTCTAAATGGACAGATAAATTATTAAAAACACTCCCACTCCCAAAGCAATCATGGCAACCTTTGACAAAATTCAACTCCAAAAGGTATTGAGAGGAAAAGATATGGGGGCGGTACGGGGGCTCAGTGGTTAGCACAGCTGCCTCACAGCGTTAGGGACCCAGATTTGATTCCAGCCTCTTTGCGACTGTCTGTGTGGAGTTTGCACATTCTCCCTGTGTCTGTATGGGTTTCCTCTGGGTGTTCTGGCTCCCTCCCACAGTCCAAAGATGTGCAGGTTAGGGTGGATTGGCCATAGGAAATTGCCCATAGGGTCCAGGGATATGCAGGCTAGGTGGGTTAGCCATGGGATATGCAGGTAATGGAGATGGGGTGGGTCTGGGTGGGATGCTCTTCAGAAGGTCAGTGTGGATTCGATGGGCTGAATGGCTTGCTTCTGCAGACCCTGGTGAAGATCTCATGGTGGTAGTGTACCTACCTCTGAATTAGGAGGCCCAAATTAAAGTCCCACCTGCTCCAAAGATATGCGATAATGTCTCTAAATGGGATGATTAGAAAATATATTATAAAGCCAACGTAGAGCTCTGTCGTGGTGCAGTGGTACTGTCTCTACCTCTGAGCCAGGAGAGCTGGGTTCAAGTCCCACCTGGTCCAGAGGTGTGTTGTAAACCATCTGAGCAGATTGTTTAAAAAATATAAGCCAGACCAAACCCCTTCCAACTCTCCCTCACTCTTGATAATTTGTATTGTCTTTAATGGGCTAACTATCCATCGGATGATTTAGGGGTGATTCCCTGCTGGAGGTTAGTAGCTAAAAACAAAAAAAAACGGTAATTTGGTGATGGAGAGAAAAAAACTCAGTTGCATGTAGGAGCACTTCTGAATAAATATATATGTGAAAAGAATGAAGCAGACCCAGGGATGGTTCTGCAGAACTGTCTTTTCTGGGCTGGGATGAGCCTATGTATGCCATCAGTCTCAACAACAAATGACATTCTTTTCCAGTCAGGCTTCCTGAGTTATTACAGCGACTTAAACATGCGCCTCTTCCTGCAGTAACAAACTATCACAGTAATATCAGCTCTTTTGGAAAGAAAAAGAAGCTATCCTACTTGTAAGAATGAGCATGAAAACTAAACTCCTACTGGAGAAACAATACATTGATCAATCACATGAACCTTTATAAGGGAGGCAGGAGTATACTGGTATTAGTACTGGACAAGTAATGTAGAAGCCCAGGTGAATGGTTTAGGGGATATGGGTATGAACAGATGTTGAAAGTTAATTTTTTAAAAAATCTGCAATTAAAAAAGCTTGCTTGAATTCTCATCCATGTAACCACTGTCAATTGTTACAGTCTAATAATACAGAGTTGGGACTGTGATGAGGAGAAACGTCTTCATCCAGAGAATGGGAAGCCTGCCAGAGGAAGAGTTGGATATAGTTCTTGAGGCTAAAGGGATCGGACGGTATGGGGAGAAAGCGGGAACAGGGGATTGATTTGGATGATCATATTGAATGGCAGAGCAGGCTCGATGGCCCGAATGGCCTACTGCTATGAAAATCCATCTGGTCCACAAGACAATCCTCAAGCTTCCATGAAACCATTTCATTCATTACTATAGATTTCCTTCCATAAAAATGACATTGCTGTGAAAAGTGTCTTGTTCACTAAAAAAGATGAGTTTTTACAACAGTATTAGTTCTCATGGTCACTATCAGAAACTAGCTTTCAGTTCCAGATTTATTACTGAATTTCAATATCAACAGCTGAGGTGGTATTTGAATCCATGTCCCTAGACTAGGAGCCTCTGGGCAATATTATCACTGCACCACTATGAGTCCCTGATTTCATAATTCATTGTGAGGGAGGAAATACTTTTGACATGACAAATTGAGGGATTAGATTTGGGACAGCATGGTGGCACAGTGGTCAGCACTGCTGCCTCACAGTGCCAGGGACTTGGGTTCAAAACCATTCTTGGGCAACTGTCTGTGTGGAGGTTGCACATTTTCCCCGTGTCTGTGCAAGTTTCCTCCCACAGTTCAAAAATGTAGAGGTTATGTGGATTAGCCATGCTAACTTGCCCCATTGTGTCCACAGATGTGCAGGTTAGTTGGGTTATCCATAGGAAATGCAAGGTTATGGGGATAGGGTGAGGGGGCTGGGTTTGGATGGAATGCTCTTCAGAGAGGATCGGTGCAGACTTGACAGAAAGAACAGCCTCTTTCTGCAGTGTAGAGTTCTGCGATTCTATGAAAATCCACGTGATCAAAAATCCAGAAAGCTATACATCATACCTGAGTTTTCAGGCACATTTGGCACACAGAGGGTAAATTTTCTCAATAAACTCTCTCAGTGTTATGGACCCCTCAAAGGCAACTAGTGTTTCTGGGAAAATTGTTCCATCAGTAAAGTTATCTATCAGATAATGCTTGAAATCACAGCTATATAGGTAGTTGTATTCATCTCAATATTGCTTACAAAAGGAGGGGCAAGTTGGATAGGTATAAAAAATAGTCAACATAGTCCTAGCAGACCATGGGGCTCCTCTCTGATTAGAGAGAGGTGGTGGTTTAACCTGAGGGTCACCATGCCTCAGGTTATGAGAGAGGTTAGGAAGGAAAGTACTTCATGGTAACCTCAGTCAGAATGCATAACTCGTCACTCTGCATTGTGACCAACCATCCAGCCAATACACCTCTTTGAAGATCTAATTGCTTTGTAAATTCAGGTAGCTGCTAAATACTTGTAGATGCAGTGATCAGGAAACTAGGATCAAGAGTAGACTTTCAAACTCACCACCATCCCCCTTCCTTACCTCATCTCATCCCTCACAAGCCTATTACACCATCTCAATAGATCATGGCCAAGTTAGACCTCAACTTTATCTATCCAACTTTTAATCCTTCTCCCTGAAGACCTTTGACAAATACAAACATGTGTTGTTTAAATTTTCAACTTGTGAATGTTGGATCAATCAACGTGTTCAATGTTTTAATCTCATGATTCTATGCATTTAAATAATAACTAAAACATTTTCTGAAGAAGGGTCTAGACCCGAAACGTCAGCTTTCCTGCTCCTCTGATGCTGCTTGGCCTGCTGTGTTCATTCAGCTCTACATCTTGTTGTCTCACTAAAACATTTAACCTGGGATTCCAACAGAGAGAGCCAGCTGGGCTCTGGTTTCAGGTCTCACCTTAAAGACATAAACTCCTTCAGTACTGCACTGGACTCTCAGCCTGGGTTCACACGTTCAAATATCTGGAGTGGAGCTTTGGGGAAATATTTAAGGTTTCCCCAAATTCCTGGCAAACACAGATGACATTTAAGTAACAGAGATAGTAAGAACTGTCGATGCTGGAGAATCTGAGATAACAAGTTGTGGAGCTGGATG